GGGGCATCTTTCGGAATTTTGGGGGAGTTCTGGGGTGTTTTAGGGAGTTTTTTGGGCTGCTTTGGGTGTTCGGCTGTGGAGTTTCGGGGTGGTTTGGGGTGATTTTAGGGTGTTTTGAGGTGATTTTAGGGTGTTTTGGAGTGACTTTAGGGTGTTTCGGGGTGATTTTAGGGTGTTTCGGGGTGTTTCAGGGGGTTTTTGGGGTGTTTCGGGGTGTCCCGGTACCTGCTCCAGGTGCGGAAGGCGTTGCTGGCTCTCTTGTACAGGTAACCCTCCATGGGCGGGGCCCGAGGCCCCGCCTCCCCCGCGGCCCCGCCCACCTCATCCTGTGATAGGTCCTGAGAGCCGCCAATCAACGCAGGCCACGCCCACAGCCCCACCCTGGCCAATCCACACCCCACGCTGGAGCTGTCAATCAAACTGGCTCTACAGCAAACTGTCAATCAAAGCCTGGCCACGCCCATAACCCCACAATGTTCCAAGCCCCACCCCTCTGAGCTGTCAATCAAACTGGCTTTACTGCAAACTGTCAATCAAAGCCTGGCCACGCCCCTACCCCGCATTGCTTCAAGCCACGCCCCTTTCTGAGCTGTCAATCAAATAGATCTGAACCGTCAATCAACTCAGCTGCAGCTGTCAATCAAAGCCAGCTCCCGCCCAAGCGCCTGTCAATCATCTCAGACCCAAGACACGTCAATCACAGCTGGCCCCGCCCCATCATCCAACCGAGCTGTCAATCAACACCGACCGCACCCCTGCTGTGCTGTCAATCACACGGAGCCCCGCCCATGGCCCCACCCCTTAGAGAGGGCCACGCCCCTCTGACCACGCCCACCAGGCCACGCCCACCCAGGCCCCGCCCACCTGCTGCATCAGGAGGCGGTGCCGCTGCTCCAGGTCCCGCTGGCGCCGCGCCCCCTCCAGCTCCGCCCGCTCCACCTGGGGACCCCCAAAGTTTTGGGGGGTTTGAGGGGGATTTCGGGGGATTTTGGGGCGTTTGAAGGGGATTTTGAGGTGTTTTGAGGGATTTTGGGGCATTTGAAGGGGATTTTGGGGTGTTCTAAGGGGATTTTGGGGTGTTCTAAGGGGATTTTGAGGTGTTTTTAGGGATTTTGGGGTGTTTTTGAGGGATTTGGGGGTGGTTTTAGGGATTCTGGGGTGTTCTAAGGGGATTTTGGGGTGTTTTGGGGTGATTTTGGGGGTCCCGGCCCCACCTGCGCCCCCAGCTGTCCCCGGTAGTCGCGGGTCGCTGTCGCCCCCTGGTGGCCGCGGCTCAGGAACGCGGCCTGAGCCTCCAACAGCGACAGCACCTGGGGGTGCGGGGGGAGGGGGCGTCAGGGGCACCCCCGGGACCCCCCGAAACCCCCCCGAGACCCCCAGACCCCTCCCCAAATACTT